AATCTTTGAGACGATGTATCCACTCCATCGGAAATCACCATAAAACGATAGAATTGTAATCAGTAGTCATAATCTTATTGACGAAGTCATCGGTCCACGTCGAGTTCACCACCAAATTCAAGAATTTGATTTTTTTTTCAAATATACAGTTGCGTTTGTGGTAAATGGGATTTGGCAAGTGTTTTACCTTTAGCAGTATCGTTGCTAATATAGTAGATATATAGCACATAAACTGCATAATATCAACAGAAATCATCTCTATACGGAAAACTAATAAAAAAAAATGTGATATATTGCCTAAGATCATCAATGAATCAAGATCATATAGGTAAACCGCGTTTCGTCTTAAACAAAACGCCGCCGAATTGCCCACCTAGCGGCAATCGGATCCGTTCGGGTCTTATTTCGCACCCAGCACCTATAGAGGATAAGACATTGAAACAAATAATAAGATATAAGACAATATGATTCATGCAGTAAGCTCTTTCTTAATTTGATAAATGCTTATGTCTCATCATATCTTCTCCGTCGAACAGATATGAAAATGTCAATGGGTGTTCCGCATAAATGCTCACTTGAGAATCTCCTTCAGGCAATTTTTGGTACGTGACGTTGTATACGAAGCAGGGACCTTTCAATAGATGACGTAGCTCATTATTCATGTCATACGTTGACACCTTTTCTTTTTGTTGTTATAGGTCTATAGTGGAAAAGAAAATAGGAGTCGGGTTTATAATAACACCGCAGAAAAACTGTAACCTACAAAAGAATGATACCTAGTGATAAATAGTTGCCTGCTTTCAAAGGCACCCTTTTTTTGGCGAAAGCTACTAAATAACATGAGCAAGGCCCAGTAGGTTCGGATAAATCTCTGGTCAGCGACCCTAGTTTTGCTACTACATCAGGCTAACCAGGCCACGTGTTTGCAGCCTTTCTCTGCTAGCTTCAAAAGCTCCAAGTGTTAACTTATGACGAATTTCGTTCGAATTAAGTTCGGTAGCACTTTAGCACACGCGCTATCGTCGTATATTTATGAAGATTTTAGGAATGGACTATTTTTTCCTGAAAATCATGAACCGTAAGCAATAATTGTTTATTTCTAAGGCTACCAATTTTTTTGTGATGCTAAGCACGTGGGTTGCCATAAACCCCTTTAGTCAGAAAAGCAGTTAGTTAGCAGACAGTATAACCGAGTTTATTATTACAGCTGAGTATATGGTGTTTCCTGCAGTGCTTATATATATATATATATATATATATATATATATATATATATATATATATATATATTAGAGCTGCGGCTTTTCATAGCAAAAACGCCCATCCTTATAACTCTATTTGTTTTTACCCGTTTATTATATATTGTCTCACACTTATGGTACATTAGGCACGTGTTGCTCATGAGTACCATGGCTCGTGGCAGAACCTGTTGACAACAAACTCAGCTGAAACTGAATTTTTATATATGTCGTTTTCAACAGCTTTTCTAGGTCCATGAAAAAGAAAACCGGCGCTGTTTTTTTTTCGAAACGTACCACTTGGAGCTAGCTCGTTTGTCTTCTAAGCCGGCATTGGGCTTCGCAGGAACAAAGCCTGTTCTCCAAAAGGACTTTACATACTGGTGTTTCTTGTAGCTCTTGTGATTCTTGTTTTTATGGTCTATAAAGAAGATTACTATCCAGACAAACTGTTGCTAAGTTAAAATTTGAAATCCCTAGAGTCCGTAGGTTGCTATGGTTCGTAATGATTTGTGTCATTATTAAGCTGACAGTCATAACTAGGATTGCAGTAATTGTGCTCTTCGGCGCAACCTATTTGAATTACGTGGACGTCATGGCACTATTCAAACTTTGCCCCGTGTTTACAGAGAAACGCCAAAAGTCTCGCATCGAGAACCGATTCTCTACCGTAGTTTTTAATATGCGTGTAACTAAATAACTCGTTGCGCAGTGACGGATTGCTAGCTCAGGTGCTGCCAGCTTCACATACTACGCAATTTACGTGAATAAAAAAGCGTTATTCTTTTATAAAATATAAAACTTATTATTGCGTATAACTTATGTATGTAGTACTTATCATTATTGTGCAATATTACAGCTTACAATGATTACATAATAGCAATGATTTAAATCGCTGCCAAATACAATTGTAGCACCTGTATTCTGATCATTTCCGGCATAAACATTGCTAAAACAACAAAAATAAAACGAATACAAATAAATAAATATATACAAATTAGATAAGGACCAATAAAACAGGAGAAAGATAACAGTAAGTACGTTTACCTTGCATGCACTGTCAAAATCGTAGTCTTTACATGTCTTCAAGCGTGTGGAAATGTTCCTGCATCAATTGAGGACTTACCATAGGCATAACTGCGGGTGCGCTATGTACCTCAGTCATTAGAAAGACAGACTACTACGGTGAATCTTTAACGAGCGTTGCCCTTAGGCCAGTACAATTTGTTGAAAACCCTCTGCGACCCTTCTCATTGTAGAGTGCTCATGTATTCGTCTCTGACCGTATGTGCCATGGCAAATCAGTCGGTGAATGAAGTCCAACCAACCAAATCAGCCTGCTTGACTACAACCTACCTAAAAATTAGTTCCCCTCTTTAACCTCGCTCTCTGTGCTACAGTCCAGAATGTCCTCGACTGCTGAAACCTTGTAAGGTTCAACTCATAAATGATACGTAATACTGCCAATGCCAGGCGAGTTCTACAAATTAAGCGTTATACACGTAAGTTGATCTTTCTTACTTTTTTCGTACACATTTGCAGGAAAAATTTCTGCTCTTCTGTCAGGTCATACACTATTCTATATGACATCACCACATCTTGTAATTTTTTAAAACAAGGTGAAAAGCAGAGTTGATTAAACCAAATAGACAAACTAAGTATATAATAGTTATTTTGATGAACGGTTCAAATGTATCAAACTATACATCATGGCTTTGAGTTCGCTGGGAGGGTCTGGCACGCATTAAAATGCCTGATGGCTTATCCATAACCCTATTAATGTTTGCAAATGGTATTTATTCTGGCGAAAATCAACGAATAGGTCCAACGAATCCTTTAACGTTGCATTCGATATGGGCTTAAAATAGAATTAGCGTTTAAGCCTTTTGTTTTTTTTCTTATTATTATATTATAATATTATTATATATAATGAAATTATATTAGCTGCTTTGCTGATTGTTACATGCAATGTCAGTGAAACCAGTGAGTACTAAACACCGGTTTCAATAGACGGGTAACAATCTTCAGCCAGAGCCGTAGTAATCAAATAGAACTTTGCTCACTTGCGAATTTCCAGGGTCCAGATTGTTTCCCAATATACACTCAAAAAGTAGTCAATTAAAAACTCATCTACTGACAAAAAACGACACACAATTGACCTAAACGTACGTGCATGCCTTTCATTCTTCCCCAAATCCTCTTTACTTCAAAGCAGGAAGTCTGCCACATGCCGGCCGACAATGGCTAAAACATACATGGGTTCTGTAAACTCCATATTTTGAAAGTTTGATATCTAAACTTAGCTTGCAGTTAATACACTTTTGAAGATAAAGTTTCTTAATTATGCATCGATCGTTGAACGAGATGAATTAGTAGCTTACTCATTTTTCTTCGATGCCCATTTCTACTGACTCAGAATTATTTAGTTTATCATCTATTTTGTTTCAATATCGTTCCGATGCGTTTTATTTAAGGATTATGATCCCCGCTAACCTATTCGCATTTATGTTGGTGACAGCATAACTTCGCTACTTGTGTAGCCAACATCGTAATCAACGTGGTACTGTACGTATAGCGGGCTGCTAATCGGCCTATACCCTTAACATACCACAGCATATCCTTCCCTTTGCCTTCAAAGGGCAAGGGCGTTACCCTTTCCTGCCGAGGCTGGCCAACCGCCTGTGCTTCCCCCGCCATCCTAAGGTAAATTCTGGGCTGTATACCGTGGGGTTGTGCTATGAGTTGTTGGTGATGTTGAGTGCGGGATAGGGAAAACGACAAAACAGAGCCTGTTTTGCCTAGCGAGTCCCGCCAAGAGTTGTCTCGAAGCCGCCTCGAAGAGTTGGCTACGGAATTGCCCTTCCCTCCGAGGCTGCTGGAAGCAGGTCCATCAGGTGGCAGTTATAGCATCGGTTCTAATGCCGTGACGTGTTTAGCCACCGTCACTGGCGATAGCGAGTGCCGCCCCACGAAGACAGACGCAGACTGGCGGACGTACGTATGTACGTACGCCGCTGGAACCAAAAGCGTCGGCTTCTGTCACAAAAATGCTACTATAGCTAGAGCGCGCTTAGATGTGCGCTGTGGCCGTCAGCAGTAATGCTCTGTGAGTGTGTATTGTTTGCTTATTGTCGTGGACGCTTGTGGTTCCGGTTTGTTGGCTGGTTCGGGCTGGTAAAAGGGTTGCCTTGGTAATTATAGAGAGGCAAAAACGTGCATCTGTGAAAAAGAAGTGAGATCGATATGTGAGGTGAGTGAAATTCAATGTTTTTTCACTAGACGTTACGTGAAATTACGCGATTCGTGGTGATCCTTCGTGGTAATTTAAATCGAAATAACCACTATTCTGCAAGTTGTTAGAAGCGTCGTATAAAATTATGCACGGTGTGATAGTTAACTGATATCAGTAACAGGCGGAAGAGAATGTTATACGGGGTGATGCTAGTGGTGGTGTGTTAATCAGACGTTGCCGAACGGGCAGCTGGTGCCGGATGCGGCCGTCGATTTCGGCTGGATTCGAATGTGTGGAGCTGGCGAAAGATATTGACAACGCGTGCGTCGTCGTTTCCGTTTCTGGCACCAGCTCCGCTTGTCATCAAGGGCCCGGTCGACACCTTTCTTTCCCATGTGCGCGTTACGTAGCCGACGACCGCGGCCATCCGACGGTCACCGCTCACGAATCTGGCTTGCTGTGAAGATTTCGCCGAGCGGTGGACCTAGCCAGCAAAGTACCTTGTCCGTTATCGCCGCTCCGCCGGCACGATGCGCCTAAGCGCCCAGTCTGCTGCGTCGCTTCCGCCTGCCGTTTGCGTGCAGCGCATCCCAACGCTCAGCACGAACGTGCAGAAGCAGCAGCTTTCTAATCAGGAAAAGCAGCAAAGACAACCAAACAGAAAATTACAATTGAAGCCACATCAGCAGCTAACTCAGATTTTACGACATTTGCTTCTTGTACCGGGACAGCAGCAGCAGCAGCAGCAGCCGCCGCCGCCGCCGCCGCCAGTGCTGCTTTGGAAGCCACGGGAACACCAGCAAGCGAACCGCAGATGTAGCAGCAATAGTGTCAGCTTTGATCACTATTATTATTGTAACTGCTCGGACGAAAACATTACAGAGACTGCTACGGTAAACATAAAAAGTGAGGTTGATAAGGGCGCCCCCTGTCAGAGACCAAAATTGGCAGCAACAGTAGCATCGTGGATCATAACATCAACGACAACGAGTGCTACGATTGCAACGACCGCCGCATGGAATAATAGTCGAACGAAGGACATAGTTATTAACATAAGAGCAAAGCCAGCAATACGAGTAGAGAAAAAAACAGGGATATTTGAACAGCATTCTAAATTGTCGACGTGCGGCTCGAAAGTCGGCGAGCAGCAAAAGCCCGCCCCAGCGGACGTCCAAGGCGGCGCCTCTGGTCAAGCCAAGAAGCCCGCAGGTGAGTGTTACGTACGCATAAAATACTATATGATGAAGGAAATTGCAGTATTCGTGTGGGACTGCGAAAAATATCGTAGACGATGTATATTTTTGTGTATGATAATCGTATCATACACACGTATCATGATATCGTAAATCAGTACACCTGTGCTAGTGTACTGAAAAATCGTCATGATTAATTAAAATTAAGCCGTCAAAACTGTTTTTACTTTGGCTCAACTATATTGTTTGATAATGTTTGCTATTCACAGATTACGCAGTTATCATTTTTTCCGTTGCCCACATTAAAGACAATGTATTACATTCTTCCCCTATCTAACTGCATTGGACACTCAAGCAAATCATTTTAATACACTCGATCTTTCGATCCCTAGCTTATGTTTGATAGCTAGCACACCCACAGCAACGTGCCGTATTTGAAGGCATGGCTACGTCAATATGTTTTCATAATCTATTCTAATAACCTCATCCAGCTGAAAGAATTGTGAGAGGTGGGTGGTGCCTTTAGAAGTGAGACCCAAGTCATCACTTTCGAAAGGTTGGTTTCTTATGCTGTGTAGGTTCTGTCCCGTTATACCCATACGAGTTGAATGGGTAAGGTCAATGTGCTTCCATGATAGCTCAGTGGACAATTTGCCTGCTAGTGTTAGGGACACGTTGTGATCTGGGTTCGAATTCGGGCGTAGACACAGGTTTTTTTCGCTCTGGGAGCCGGCCGTCTGATGTACTGTCTAACGGCAATATCGGCCGTAAATCTCGAAGCATGAAAAGCACTACATACACATTTGCGTGTGTAAAAACTGCTTTCGATATGGACGGTTGTGAAACACGACGGCGTCCCAGCTCTTGCTGATATGTCAGCACAACGAGGCTTTAAAGCCTGTTACCCTCAATTATTCGAGTTACGTTGCAACATCATTTGGATACTGACAGAGGACGTCATTCGTAGTATTCAGCGAGGGTTAGAATTGGTCGGATTATTAAAATCGTCTGTCTCGCCCGCGGAGTCTTATTGCGTTAATATCCAAATAAGATTCGTAGATATGGATAAAGCATATTAGGGACTACCGAAGGGTAGAAATGAAGACAGCTGATGGGCGCACTCCTTGTAATCATTTTATGAACAGTGATATTGTCTTATTAAATTTTACAAGTATCCTATGACGCAGTCGAAGAGGTTAGACTGATGCATGTAATGAAACTGAACAGGAGAATCGACTCCTCTTGGGCTCGCAACTCGTCTACTATGAACTGTTATTATGGAAAATAGATAATTCAGGCAACAAACGAAGGTTCCGTAATAAATGCCAAGTGATCCATGCGCAGTGTTACCACCAGCCCCCGCCCGCCGTTCCTAAAGTTGGGTAATGAAACCCTATTTATCGCTAGCTACCACAAAAACATGCTGAGAGTTTAGCAAAGTTAAGAACAATGCACAACGGCCGTAGCAGACGCAAAGCCAAATGGCTGAGTTTCGGTTTAAAAAAAAATTAAATGGAGTACGCGTAGCAAGTTAGAAACACCAAGATCAGAATCTGCCTGTACAGAATTCGATTAAATTATTAAACTATATTAAAAAAGAAAGCAAGTGCTCCGTGTCTTTCCTAGTGGTAACAAGTAGGTTGTCCACTTTCGTACGGCCTACGTACGGAGCGTATGAAACGCAGGTTAGCATTTTGACGGAGCGACCTCGAGCTGAGAACGGTTCGGTACTATCATTGAAAAATATGTGAAAGGCATTTTTGAAAAATATACTACAAATTTGTTTACAACGGTGCAGATAAAAAGCCACTGGACGAGAACAGACAGAGGTCCCACAAGAGCTTTGATTGACCCTGTGCAATAACATATGTGTAATAATGCGTCCTTAAGCCCTGTGGCCTTGGTGTGGCAGTAACGTAGATCAGTTTTCGCCAGTTTATCTCTGGCTGATAGCTGGTGTAAACAGGAATTGCATACAGGCACACCTGTATCTCGAAGACTACCTGCATGAAGCCGTGCAAGTTGGGAAAATTTCGCTTTTTCGGATTCTCGAACGTTGTCTCATGCAGACTATGTTCGTCATAGCTGGCGTTTAAATTCTCTAATCGAAATAGCAATACTAGCTTAAATTATTGATTTAGAAATCACAGAATCGTGCACGCCAGTCAAGCTACTACTAGTAATAGTATCCGACGACGTCTTCTGTTTTAGGAAAATATCAATTGTGGACCTGGTAACAAATATTTGTTTCTGCATGTATATTTTACAGTAGGGCCTCAGCATCGTTAGACAATCGGCTGCATGCATTTTCATCAAAGTATAGAGGGTGCTTGTCGGGTGAAAATTTTACAGTGAATAATTTCAGATGAGAAAGCTTTCTTCCTCTAGGTAGCTCTGGAATTACACACAACAACCCGTAACCGGTTTACGTATCTGATGGCCGATTCGTCGTCCCTCATCGAGGCCCTGCGTTGCCGCTTTAAGTTTTTTGTAGCGGAGACCCTTAACATCAACTGAGGAACTAGAAGCGAAATTCACAGAGCCAGAGTTTAAGTTGGAAATGAAAAGGATATCGAACTGGCCGGCTAAACAAATACGTTGCGGCTCCGTTTTAGCGTGTGCGGGTTCCACAGGGAAGCACGCAGACGACGAGGGTTCGCGCCTGATGATGTGCGGCGCCGTATTTTGGACGCGTGACAGTTTGCCTAACTTCAAGCTGACGCAAACACAGTCAGACCAAGCGGACAAATACAAACCATACGACGCCAAGTATATTTATGATGGGGCGACTATATATGGCAGCCGATGAGAGGCCTAGACTACTCGGGTCAGCTCCATTAATAACAATGATAATATGTCTATTGTCTATGTATATTCGGCGTGTGATAATATACTATCCGCATAAGAATAACCTCAGCCGGAAGCGATTGTTTTCAATGTACTCCGTTGTAGTCTTATTATGGCTTGTATTAAGCTATCGTGTAGCATACATATATGTCGAAGATCATGGGCGGTGGTTTTTCTTTACCGTGTCATTTATATGGGTAATTGTATTTATGGCTTGACGCAATTTTCTACTGCTTTACACATATTTTTTTGCTGGTGCGTAATTGCAGCTTGACAAATTTAAATATTCAAAAATTTGACCAGGTTATGCTGTGAATGAATTTAAGCCTAACGATAAATATAAATAATAATAGTTTTTCTTTCCGTTGTGTTCAAACATGCTTTCTTTAAAAGTCCGTTTATTATGTGTCTGTAGAACGCTTATTTCAAGAGTTGGCCTACAAAAATTGGTGTTCATGAAACTCACTTTCTCTTTGGCCACCGATTTATGCAGCTTCACTGCGCTAGGTTTTTTTCACGCAATCAAATCACGTCCCATAGATAGACAATAATTTACCTTTTTTTAGGCTTTGCCCTTTAAATAGAGGCCTGGAAATTTCCTCTGAAACCTCGAACGCGTAGCAGCAGTTTGCTAGGCGCAAGTAATCTGTCCAGAAGGACTTTGAAGGTGCGGTCACGTTGCCATTCAACATGCCCAAAAACCTGCTTCCGCAAAAGGGGTTCCAACAGGCTATAACAGATGGCGACACTGTCGTGTTGCGAGGCGTCCGAGTTTAATAGTTTTTTTCTGAAAACAAACAGAAAAGAGATTTGTGTAGTATTGTCAGTTTAGCAGACGTCGTCTAAGGCTGCCTAATACATTCATAGTTAGTTATTTTTGAAAAGGTAACAGCATTTATTATGTAGTTTTATGTATATACTTATTATGTACGTAAAATTTGAAATTTCAAAACAGAACCAGCATTGGTGAACAGATATTAGGATTACTGCCGGCGGTTATATAAGGCCCCATGGCCTTGCGTGTCGAAGGAATCTGCTCATTGACTTGCCGTCAAATACGTGACATGAAAAGGTGGCACCTAGTCCGTTCTACGGGGCTGCTTGAAATCGAATTGATGTAACGAATAAAATCTTATGGAGACGTAACGGATCCCTTGATCTATTTATTAGGCAATCTAGGATAACTAGGGTATTAAAAAGCAAAGAATCTTGATGCAATCCCAAAAGGGTTCGATGCTTTGCGATGGTAAACGTACCTTGACATTTTAAAATTCTAAGCCAGCAGTCTCGATTAAATGTCATGCATTTATGTAAGTTTATGGTTTTAGTTCGTGCGATCTGATCAATAAGGAACTCGAAGGCGACAAACTAAAGGTATAAATTGAAAAAGATGAGGTCCATAGAACTGTATCGTATAAGAAAACAGGGCCTGCTAGTTATCACGTCATACTATCAGTGTAACCCATGTATTTTTTACAATACGATAAAACGAGCATAATAAGATGTTTGCCATAGCTGTTCAACTGTTAAGGCCATCTTATCAAAGCGTTTCATGAGTAGCAAACGAAGGCAGACATATGATTCATGAGTAAACGGGAACTTGAGATCTTTTTTTCTGATATGGCAAAAATCTGTTTGATTAGGCGTATCGTATATCCATTCATTGAATAGCGGTTGAAAATTCTGCAGACTCTTTTTTGCTAAACCAAAATGTTCATATCCTATTGGCACTCGAGCTTACGAACAATTGGGTGCTCAAGTGCGGCCGAATGAATACGGCTTGTGAGCTTCAAGCATAGCAATGAAAGGCCAACACAGTAAATGATTGAACCATCGGGTATATTACAGTGTGCCTGAGGTCTCGAATGAAAGCGGACAACAACAACAGCTAAATTGCCGCCTAGGAATGTCTTTCATAGAATAGAGATAGGTTTGATTTGGCTTGGAGCCTAATTTACTATGGTAGCCTAACAGCGGTCCTTAGCCGTGGTTTCAAGTCGCTCTCACTTCTACGAATGTTCCCCATTCGCTTGTCGGGCTGATACCTTTATTGGGAAGGTATTGGCAAAGAGTTCCACTCGTGTCAGGTGCAACATGCTTCTAGCGTTGCCTGTCTTTCGTATATAAAGTGGAGCTACACATTTAAACGTTAACCATTCAATGGCGAAA